TGTAGTCTTGTCCTAGGGTGACAACGCTGCTTCTCCATCGGTACAGTGACTGAGTGTTGCCACCCTAGATTGGGAAATGTATCGCTGACAGGATCAGCAAATGAAAGGAAAGTTAAAGGCCTGAAACCAAGGAACGAACTGCTGAAAGAACATATATATATGTATGTTGAGGGGATGATCTATTGTTGCTGGCTGCTAGAAGTTCTTTTAATGCTGGCTACTGGAAGATCTATGGTTGTTGGGGTGGTATTTTGTCGCAGGGTGTCTATTGTTACCGGGGGGACCTGTTGTTGCTCAGATGGATCCACTGTTGAAGGTATGATCTATTGTTTCTGGCTGCTAGAAGTTCTTTTGATGCTGGCTACTGGAAGATCTATTGTTGCTGGGGGTTTATTGTTGCTTGGAGGGATCCATTGTTAATTTATTGATTTATTGTTGCTGGTTGCTAGAAGGTCTATTGATGCTGGCTACTACAGCATCTTTTGTTGCTGGGGTGGTATTTTGTTGGAGGGTGTGGTCTATTGTCACTGGGGGGATCTATTGTTGCTGGAAGGGGCTATTGTTTCTTGAAGATCTATTGTTGCTTGGAGGATCCATGTTACTGCTTTTTTTTTATCATTATCAAATTCCATACAAATCACTTAGCACCAAAAATGATAGTGGTATAATGGTAGGGGGTGGGACCAAGGAACAGGATGGGGCGGAGTCAAGGACTGACTTGGAAGGGGAGGGGAGTACAAAAGCCCTAGGATCAACCAATAAATGTTTGTACTTATCAAATGGATACAACAAAATACTTCCAATGTTGCAGTCAGTAACATCCCTGGTGCCCTACTTGCAGCTTGGGGGCCCCTTGGTACTCATAGTGTGGCCCCAGCAGCAAGCAGAGGGAACAGTGATTGGTAGAGGGGCGTGAATGTTGGTGATCTCTAGCGGTCTCGTGTGGCATTTCCCCAGTCTCTAACATTCTCCAGCCTCCAACTGCACCTGTAGCACGTCACCAGTCTGTGACCTTCTCCAGCATTGTGTTAGCAGTCTTTGATAATCCCCCCAGGAATGTCAGGTGCCACAGCTGAGCCCCCCATACCTAGGACCTTGACCACCACCGCTTCCTCTTCCTTCCAAATGCTCAACCTCCTTTCCTTCCTCACCAGGTGCAGCTCCAGTCGGAGAGGACTATCACTTTTCCAGGTGCCTACACCTCTCTACCCCCTTCCTTTTCCAGGTGCCTACCCCTCTCTACCCCCCCCCTACAATTTTTACCCCCTACTCCTTTTCAGGTGCCTACATCTTTCTACCCCCCTACACCTTTCCAGGTGCCCCCACCTCTCTACCGCCCTACACTTTTCTACCCTCTACACCTTTCCAGGTGCCATCACCTCTCTACCCCCTACATTTCCAGGTGTCTACACCTCTCTACCCCCCTACACCTTTCCAGGTGTCTACACCTCTCTACCCCCCTACATTTCAGGTGTCTACACCTCTCTACCCCCCTACACCTTTCCAGGCGCCTACACTTCTCTACCTCCCTACATTTCAAGGTGTCTACACCTCTCTACCCCCCCCCTACACCTTTCCAGGTGCCCACACTTCTCTACCCCCCTACACTTTTCTACCCTCTACACCTTTTCCCGGTGCCATCACCTCTCTACCCCCCTACACCTTTCCAGGTGCCTACACTTCTCTACCACCCTACACCTCTCTACCCCCCTACAGCTTTTCAGGTGCCTACACTTCTCTACCCCCCTACACCTTTCCAGGTGTCCTACACCTCTCTACCCCCCTACATTTCCAGGTGTCTACAGCTCTCTACCCCCCTACACCTTTCCAGGTGCCTACACTTCTCTACCCCCCTACACTCCAGGTGTCTACACCTCTCTACCCCCCCCTACACCTTTCCAGGTGCCTACACCTCTCTACCCCCTACATTTCCAGGTGCCTACACCTCTCTACCCCCCTACATTTCCAGGTGTCTACACCTCTCTACCCCCCTACACCTTTCCAGGTGCCTACACTTCTCTACCTCCCTACATTTCAAGGTGTCTACACCTCTCTACCCCCCTACACCTTTCCAGGTGTCTACACTTCTCTACCCCCCTACACCTTTCCAGATGTTTACACCTGTCTACCCCCCTACACCTTTCCAGGTACCTACACTTCTCTACGACCCTACACCTCTCTACCCCCCTACACCTTTCCAGGTGCCTACTCCTCTCTACCCCCCTACAATTTCTACCCCCCACTCCTTTCCTTGTGCCTACATCTTTCTACCCCCCTTCCCATGGTGTAGCCCCAGCAGCAAGTAGAGGGAACATTGATTGGTAAAGGGGTGTTAATGTCGGTGATCTCTAGCGGTCTCGTGTGGCATTTTCCCAGTCTCCAACATTCTCCAGCCTCCAACCGCACCTGTGGCACGTCACCAGTCTCTGACCCTCTCCAGCATTGTGTTAGCAGTCTATAGCACTTCATATTCTAAATATTATGGATGCCCATCCCAGCCACCCCCCCCCCAGGAATATCGGGTGCCACAGCTGAGCCCCCCCATACCTAGGACCTTGACCACCACCGCTTCCACTTCCTTCCAAATGCTCAACCTCCTTTCCTTCCTCACCAGGTGCAGCTCCTGTCGGAGAGGACCATCGCCATGAGGAGTAAAATCTCGAAGATGGTGATCGTCATCGTCCTTCTTTTCACCATCTGCTGGGGCCCCATCCAGCTCTTCAGCCTGTTCCAGGGCTTCTACCCGGGATTCCAGGCCAACTACGCCACCTACAAGATCAAAACCTGGGCCAACTGCATGTCCTACGCCAACTCCTCCATCAACCCCATCGTCTACGGCTTCATGGGCGCCAGTTTCCGCAAGTCCTTCAAGAAGGCCTTTCCTTTCATGTTCCGGAACAAAGTCAGGGACGGCAGCATCACCTCCGGAACGGTCCACAACGAGATGAAGTTTGTAGCCATGGAGTCCACCAACAACGAACTCAAGTGAAGGTGGAGCAACGTGGAGAGCGATCAACCTGTCGTGGCATGGACTGGGGGGGAACTAATGGTGGCTTCTTAATAGACATGGAATCAGAGGCGGGGAGTGACGGGGTGTGGCCGAATTATAGGAGTGAAGGTTCTTCATGAAACATTGTTTCCCCCGTTATTATTGGGAAGGTGATTCATCGCCACAAAAGCTCCTCTGAAGCGAAGGTCCAAAACGCCGCGGGTCTCCCGGAGGGATTTAATCAGGAATTTTATCAGCCGAATGTTTTTTTTTTTACCTGAAGAATCGTCTTGTGTCTTGTCTGTAACAAATCTCTATTTTGTATTTATACCGTCTGCTCATTAAATGAGAATATTGAAATATCACCCCGCGTCCATGAACTTTCATGTTTGGCCGGGCTTTGGGTTCGTTCACACCTGAGCGTTGCATTTGTGAGCCTTTTTTGACACGCGTTTCTGTGTGCATTTTTGTACTGTGTTTTAAAAACTAGGCTTTTCAGCTTTTTTTTTAGCTTTTCCATCAAACTTTTTTTTAATATTTCTCAGATTAGAGGTAAGGGTGAGGTTTAGGGTTAGGGGTTAGGTGTTGGGGTTGGAGGGTTATGTATTGTCTCCTTTTTACTTATTTATTATTTATTTATATTTGTTAGGGTCAGGGTGTTAATTTATGTATTTATTATTATTTTTATTTATTTATTTCTAGGGTTAATAGTTTATTTATTGTCTCCTTTTTACTTATTTATTATTTATTTTATTTTTGTTAGGGTGTTAATTTATTATGTTTATTATTATAATTCCTTTTTTTAGGGTTAGGGGCTAGTATTTTATTTATTGTCTTATTGATTTATTTTTGTTAGGGTGTTAATATATTTATTATTATTATTATGAAAAAAAATTTTTTAGGGTTAGAGGTTAATATTTTATTTATTGTCTCCTTTTTACTTATTTATTATTTATTTATTTTTGTTAGGGTGTTTATTTATTTTTTAGGGTTAGAGGATAATATTTTATTCATTTATTTTTACTTATTCATTTTTGTTAGGGTGTTAATTTATTTATTAAGTAATTTTTTTTTTAGGGTTAAAGGGTAATTATTTATTGTCTCATTTTTACTTATTTATTATTTATTTATTTATTTTTGGGTGTTAATTTATTTATTATTATTCAATTTGCTGGAAAGGTGGAGTAGCATTGTCAAGCAAAACTCCAGTAAATAGAATCCCCTCCTCCTCTTCTGCAGGTTTCAAGGCAGATCCTTCCTTACCCGCTTCTATCCTGTAGATACTGAAGATGGGAACAGTCAGGTGCCTACACCTCTTTACCCCCCCCCCCCCCCCCCCCACACCCCCCCCCACACACACACACACACACACACACACCTTTTACACCTTTTCAGGTGCCTACACCTCTCTACCCCCCTACACCTTTCTACCCCCCCTACACCTCTCTACCCCCCCTACACCTCTCTACCCCCCCTACACCTTTTCAGGTGCCATCACCTCTCTACCCCCTCTACACCTCTCTACCCCCTACACCTTTCCAGGCTTCTACACCTCTCTACCCCCCTACAGCTTTCTACCCCTACTTCCAAGTTCCAAGAAATAGAGTCTCACAGACGTCCTCCTTGCTTTGGCTTGGTCCCCCACTTTTCATGATGACCCCCAGGTGACCTCCGGGCATGTTATTATATGAGGACCCTAATTCCAAAGATGTCCACATTGACATGGACAGGGCTGGCACTGCCTCCACTTTCTATAGTCACACCCCATACTGTTCTGAGGGCCTCTAGTGGCTGTTTATGAGATTACACTGTCCATTCACTACGAGGGCTCTCTAAGCTACTCTCTGTCCTAACTATGGCGACACCAAGTGATCAAACTAGGGAACTAAATGGGGCGCACCTGTGCTCCTACCCTACACAGCTTCTAGTGCACATTGTGAAACGCTCACAGTGTACTCTGAAATCAGAGGAAGCCATTTCAGTCCAGGAGAGGAGCCGGTACACCTGTGCAACACTGAAGGGGAGGAGCCGGTACACCTGTGCAAGACTGAAGGGGAGGAGCCGGTACACCTGTGCAAGACTGAAGGGGAGGAGCCGGTACACTTGTGCAAGACTGAAGGGGAGAATCCGGTACACCTGTGCAAGACTGAAGGGGAGGAGCCGGTACACCTGTGCAAGACTGAAGGGGAGGAGCCAATACACCTGTGCAAGACTGAAGGGGAGGAGCCGGTACACCTGTGCAAGACTGAAGGATAGGAGCCGATACACCTGTGCAAGACTGAAGGGGAGGAGCCGGTACACCTGTGCAAGACTGAAGAGGAGGAGCCGGTACACCTGTGCAAGACTGAAGGGGAGGAGCCGGTACACCTGTGCAAGACTGAAGGGGAGGAGCCGGTACACCTGTGCAAGACTGAAGGGGAGGAGCCGGTACACCTGTGCAAGACTGAAGGGGAGAATCCGGTACACCTGTGCAAGACTGAAGGGGAGGAGCCGATACACCTGTGCAAGACTGAAGGGGAGGAGCCAATACACCTGTGCAAGACTGAAGGGGAGGAGCCAATACACCTGTGCAAGACTGAAGGGGAGGAGCCGGTACACCCGTGCAAGACTGAAGGGGAGGAGCCGGTACACCCATGCAAGACTGAAGGGGAGGAGGAGGTACACCTGTGCAAGACTGAAGGGGAGGAGCCAGTACACCTGTGCAAGAATGAAGGGGAGGAGCCAGTACACCTGTGCAAGACTGAAGAGGAGGAGGAGGTACACCCATGCAAGACTGAAGGGGAGGAGCCGGCACACCTGTGCAAGACTGAAGGGGAGGAGCCGGTACACCTGTGTAAGACTGAAGGGGAGGAGCCGGTACACCTGTGTAAGACTGTAGGGGAGGAGCCAGTACACCTGTGCAAGACTGAAGGAGAGGAGCCGGTACACCTGTGCAAGACTGAAGGGGAGAATCCGGTACACCTGTGCAAGACTGAAGGGGAGGAGCCGATACACCTGTGCAAGACTGAAGGGGAGGAGCCAATACACCTGTGCAAGACTGAAGGGGAGGAGCCAATACACCTGTGCAAGACTGAAGGGGAGGAGCCGGTACACCGTGCAAGACTGAAGGGGAGGAGCCGGTACACCCATGCAAGACTGAAGGGGAGGAGGAGGTACACCTGTGCAAGACTGAAGGGGAGGAGCCAGTACACCTGTGCAAGAATGAAGGGGAGGAGCCAGTACACCTGTGCAAGACTGAAGAGGAGGAGGAGGTACACCCATGCAAGACTGAAGGGGAGGAGCCAGCACACCTGTGCAAGACTGAAGGGGAGGAGCCGGTACACCTGTGTAAGACTGAAGGGGAGGAGCCGGTACACCTGTGTAAGACTGAAGGTTTGCTCGCTGGAACAGATCATCCACCCGCCATGATGACACGAAGTTGTAGGATTGGATGAGCATATCTCGTTTCTATGATGACTCACATCTCCCATGGAGCTCACTGACACACTGCGCCTTCATGGTGACGACACTTTTATTGAGACACACGGATGGAGATGACATGAGCGGTCTAAGCGGGGGGCTGTAGAAATCAGAAGACCCCCGACGGGAAGGATACAATGACTCACTTGGAAGATCGCTCTTATTACAGATCCCGGCTCGCCTTTGTTCAGGAAATGTGATTTCTGGGGACGGACGAACCTCCTCCGCCGGTAGAAGGTCACGGCCAGAATGAGATTGTTATCGATTTGTACATGTAGGACCCCAGCGGGCATAATTATTATCCACACCTTGTGACATCATGATCTAATAGAAGCTGAAGGTCCCTCGCTGGGGGCCACAACATATTGGAGGGTTTTTATATCATCGACCTCATTATGTGATATCAGCCCCCACATCCAATCTCCTCCGTAGTCAGCGCTCTCAACAGCATGACAGCTGAACATGCTTTTTATATTTTATCTGTGAATTCATCTGGGCAAACGGTTGAATTCACAGATAAAATATATACATGGGAGAGGTTTTATCTGCTAAGAGATTTGTATTTCTGTCCATCCTGTCCTGAGATTTACACAGCTCCGCCACACAGCAAAGACCTGATTTTTCTCTGTTGCAGCTTAGCAACACTTGCAGGTCTTGTCCCTCCCCCCAGCCTGTGATTGGACAGGGAAAGGAGAAGCAGCAGCTTGGGCAAGCTCATCTCTGCTCTCTCCTCCTATCAGCCCATTCTTTGTTAGCACGCGAGCACTGCAGCACAGCTGATTGGCTCCTTGTGCTGCTTCTCCTTCTCCCAATGGAAACCCTATTATTACTCTCTCCTCCAATCAGCATGTTCCGTTACCGCATAGGCAGTGCAGCATGCCCGATTGGCTCCTTGGGCTGCTTCTCCCTCTCCCAGTCTGAGCTCTGTTCTACAGAGACTGCCAGGTCAGATCCAGCTAGTTTCTGATCGATCGACACAATGGAAATCCTATTATTACTCTCTCCTCCAATCAGCATCTTCCCTGTTTGCACATAGGCAGTGCAGCATGCCTGATAGGCTCCTTGGGCTGCTTCTCCCTCTCCCAGCTTGAGCTCTGCTATACAGGGACTTCCAGGTCATATCCAGGTAGTTTCCGATCGATTGACACAATGCAAAGCCAGAAGATAAATGTAATGACATTACCAGTAGGGGGCCCCCAGGGCCGGCTGCGTGTTGGTTCCTCGCCGCGTTCATTGAAGTATATCTGAAGTCACAACTTTATTTTCCATTCTGGATGGAGCAGGGAAGGGTTGAAGGGGGTCGTTGTGATACATTTCCTCTGTTTCACCCAATGCATCGAACATTAGCGCTCGTGTTGCGTCATTGCGTGATGACTTGTACCTCTCGTACTCACAGATTGCATGGTCTGTGGTCACCTATGGATCAGAGACGGGAATGGCTACAGCCCCCGAGAAGGCTTCCCCTCTTAGCACCGGAACAGGCACCCCCATTGGACGTTGTGGTGACAACTGTAAATTGTTGGATTTCCCATCACTTCCTGTCCTGTCCGGGACCCAGGACAAGGATGAAAAACTGCACCCCCCTCCCCCATTCCTAATGCAAGTCTGGCCCTGACAGCACCGCCTGGCCAGTCATAATATTCAGTGTGAGAGATAGCAGATGGTCAAAGTCTATGGGCATACTACAGGAGACGGTCAGAGACTGCAGACATACTACAGGAGATGACCAGAGACTGCAGACATAGTACAGGAGATGACCAGAGACTGCGGACATAGTACAGGAGATGACCAGAGACTGCAGACACACAGTACAGGAGATGACCAGAGACTGCGGACATAGTACAGGAGATGACCAGAGACTGCGGACACAGTACAGGAGATGACAGAGACTGCAGACACAGTACAGGAGATGACCAGAGACTGCAGACACAGTACAGGAGATGACCAGAGACTGCAGACACAGTACAGGAGACGACCAGAGACTGCAGACACAGTACAGGAGACGACCAGAGACTGCAGACACAGTACAGGAGACGACCAGAGACTGCAGACACAGTACAGGAGATGGTCAGAGACTGCAGACACAGTACAGGGAGACGACCAGAGACTGCAGACACAGTACAGGAGACGACCAGAGACTGCAGACATAGTACAGGAGATGACCAGAGACTGCAGACATAGTACAGGAGAGACGACCAGAGACTGCAGAGACACAGTACAGGAGACGACCAGAGACTGCAGACACAGTACAGGAGACGACCAGAGACTGCAGGACACAGTACAGGAGACGACCAGAGACTGCAGACACAGTACAGAGAGGAGTACAGGGTCAGAGACTGCAGTACAGGAGATGACAGGAGACGACGGTACAGGAGAGAGACTGCGGACACAGTACAGGAGATGACCAGAGACTGTGGACATAGTACAGGAGATGACCAGAGACTGCGGATATAGTACAGGAGATGACCAGAGACTGCGGACACAGTACATGACCAGAGATAGTCAGGAGATGGGACTGCGGACACAGTACAGGAGATGACAGAGACTGCAGACACAGCGCAGGAGATGACCAGAGACTGCGGACACAGTACAGGAGATGGTCAGAGACTGCGGACATAGTACAGGAGATGACCAGAGACTGCGGACATAGTACAGGAGATGGTCAGAGACTGCGGACATAGTACAGGAGATGACCAGAGACTGTTAATTTTCTAAAAATTGGCACAAAAATTACAACTTCAAAAAATTTGCCATGTTTCTTACAAAGTACCTGACTGTCTGGTTTCCAAAAAGGAGTCATTTGGGGAGATTTGTACCGTCCTGGAATTTTAGGGCCTCAAGAAATGAGATCGGCTTTCAGTACATCAGGATTGATCAATTTTCCAATATACATCCCATAGTTTGTAGACTTTATAACTTTCCTACAGACTAAATAATATACACTGATTTGGGTTATTTTTTACCAAAGACACGGAGCAGAAAACATTTTGGCCTCAATTTATGAAGAAAGTTTATTTGTAAAAATTTTATAACAGAAACTAGGAAAAGCAGGGGATTTTTTTTTCAAAATGTTTGGCCATTTTTACGTTTTTTTATAGCCAAGAATAAAAAAAAACCCAGTGGTGATCAAATACCACCAAAAGAAAGCTCTATTTCTGTGAAAAAAAAAAAATATATTGTATATATATATGTATATATATATATATATATATATATACACACAGTGGGGATGGAAAGTTTGGGCACCCCAGCTAAAAATGAAGCCAATGAGAGATGGAAAAATCTCCAAAAGGCATCAAATTACAGATTAGACATTCTTATAATATGCCAACAAAAGTTAGATTTTATTTCCATCATTTACACTTTCAAAATAACAGAAAACAAAAAATGGCGTCTGCAAAAGTTTGGGCCCCCTGCAGAGTTAATATCTTGTACTGCCCCCTTTGGCAAGTATCACAGCTTGTAAATGCTTTTTGTAGCCAGCCAAGAGTCTTTCAATTCTTGTTTGAGGTATCTTTGCCCATTCTTCCTTACAGAAGTCTTCCAGTTCTTTGAGATTTCTGGGCTGTCTGTCACGCACGGCTCTTTTAAGGTCTATCCATAGATTTTCAATGATGTTGAGGTCAGGAGATTGTGAAGGCCATGGCAAAACCTTCAGTTTACGCCTCTTGATGTAATCCCCTGTGGATTTCGAGGTGTGTTTAGGATCATTATCCATTTGTAGAAGCCATCCTCTCTTTAACTTCAGCTTTTTCACAGATGGCATCAAGTTACCATCCAAAATTTGCTGAAATTTTATTGAATCCATTTTTCCTTCTACTCGTGAGATGTTCCCTGTGCCACTGGCTGCAACACAACCCCAAAGCATGATTGATCCAACCCCATGCTTCACAGCTGGACAGAGGTTCTTTTCATTCAATTCTGTGCCCCTTCTTCTCCAAACGTACCTTTGCTCATTCCGGCCAAAAAGTTCAATTTTAACCTCATCAGTCCACAGAACTTGTTTCCAAAATGCATCAGGCTTGTCATATGTTCATTTGCAAAGTTCAAACGATGATTTTTTGTGGTGAGGACGTAGAAGAGGTTTTCTTCTGATGACTCTTCCATGAAGACCATATTTGTACAAGTATCTCTTTATAGTGGAATAGTGTACCACAACTCCAGTGTCTGCCAGATCTTTCTGGAGGGATCGTGCAGTCAAACGTGGGTTTTGAACTGTTTTTCTCACAATCCTGCGAGCTGTTCTGTCTGATATTTTTCTTGGTCTTCCAGATCTTGCTTTAACTTCCACTGTTCCTGATGACTGCCATTTCTTAATTACATTCCGAACAGAGGATATTGACATCTGAAAACGCTTTGCTATCTTCTTATAGCCTTCTCCAGCTTTGTGAGCGCAAACTATTTTCAGTTTCAGTTTTCTAGACAACTGCTTAGAAGAACCCATGGTGCTGATTGTTGGGGCAAGGTCAGATGAGTCTGGGCATTTAAAACCTTTGAGATTGACATCACCTGGTCTTCCCAGACGATGATTGAGAACAATCCATGACACTGGCAGGTCTCAGCTTGGCAAAGGGGGCAGTGCATGCTATAAATTCTGCAGGGGGCCCAAACTTTTGCAGACGCCATTTTTTTGTTTTCTGGTATTTTGAAAGTGTAAATGATGGAAATAAAATCTAACTTTTGTTGACATATTATAAGAATGTCTATCCTGTAATTTGATGCCTCTTGGAGATTTTTCCATCTTTCCTTGGCTTCTTTATGCACATTAATACAAATTTTTAGCTGGGGTGCCCCAAACTTTCGATCCCCACTGTATATATATATATATATTTATTTTTTTTTTAATTTATAAAAAATATATATATATAATTTGGGAACAAAGTTGCATGACCAAGCGATTGCCAATATAAGTAGTGCAGTGCTGAACAGCACGCCCTGGTCATGAGGGGGGTAAAATCTTCCGGAGGTCAAGTGGTTAAGGGTTCTATGGTCTTTAAATGGAGAGCTCTTTTTGCCCATCCTGGACCCGTTCTTGTACCACAAAAAGATCCCTCAATAATTCCAACTAACTTTAAGTTCACTTTTCCAATAGATTTTGTCAAAACATTGAAATTCCAGCCTAATCTCCTAATGTTTTACAAAATTGTTAGGAAATGTGAAATCATAATTTTCGATTTTGTAGCCCTGCATCTGAAGATCCTCAGAAGGCCTCATTATGTTGAGAAGATGGAGATAGGCCCATCCTAGGCCTGGAATGGGATTGGCCTGGGACCTCACTCATCAATGTATGCTATCAGTCGTAATAACAATAGTCAAGGGTTCGGTTACTCTTCTTCAGAGTTGGCCGAGCAGAACTTGGAGACCAATACTTGGTCATTTGGTGCTCTTGAAGGTCTAATGGATTAGAGATGTCTTACAGTTGAGTCCCAGCATGTTATAAGAAACCCCCAACCAACAACTGCCAATGGGAAGACGCCAACACTCACCATCCATACACCAGTCACTGCCATACTCTTTCATGGTGCCACCAGAACTGGCCAAGCTATCATTTTCTGGTGTTGGACATCCCAGGGACAGCGGTATGTTGCCAGGTTAACATCAGCTGGCAGTCGATCGATGGCAGTTACTAATACTTGCCACAGAGGAAAGGCGCAACCGCAGCTGACAAAGTGAGTCAGCCGGTGAGTCACGTACGAGACCTTACCCTTTTTTTTTAATAAAAGCCGCTTTGTCTCTGAAGAACAAATTAAAGTGCCAGTGGTTTCCACAGTGTACCCTCGGGGCGCACATGCTAATGCCCAGCTCTGGTAAAAGGTCAAAGCGAGAGCCAAATTATTTAAACTTTTTTATGAAGCGAAGCACGTAATGTCCGTTCTATCACAAACATTCCCACATCTGATAAGATTGCAGTCTTTATCTAGAGGGCTCAGAGGTCGGGCTCAGGGTGAGAACATTTCATAAAAGGCGTATCGGGGGAGTGCGGCCTCAGCTCAACATAATGCTCTAAATAGAACCCGATGGTCAGATAAATGTAATATGGCACAGCCGCCTTATCTAAAGCCTTTCTTGAAGGATGACATGAGGAAGCAGCTCCAGGTTAATCTCCAGAAGGATCTCATTTCATCTTATATGAGATCAACTCTTAGCGCAGAATTATGGCTGACAAAGACTCAGACGGTTCTTCCTTAGGATTGATGGAAACAACTTAAAGGGCTCTTACAACCAAACAGCTAAATATGCCGAAGAACATTGTACAATCCATGAGCACTGGAAGATGTCTGGTGCCCATTCAAGGCATGTATGGTGACGATAGATAGATAGATAGATAGATAGATAGATAGATAGTATAGATAGATAGATAGATAGATAATAGATAGATAGATAGATAGATAGATAGATGATAGATAGATAGATAATAGATAGATAGATAGATAGATAATAGATAGATAGTAATAGATAATAGATAGATAGATAGATAGATAGATAGATAGATAGATAGATAGATAGATAGATAGATAGATAGATAGATAGATAGATAATAGATGATAGATGATAGATAGATAGATAGATAATAGATAGATAATAGATAGATAGATAGATAGAGATAGATGATAGTATAGATAGATAGATAGAAAGATAAGATAGAAGATATGGGATATTAGATAGATAATAGATAGATAATAGATGGTAGATAGATAGATAATAGATATAAAATAGATAGATAGATAGATAAGATAGATAGATAGATACAAGCCATAATAGAAGATAGATAGATAGATAGATAGATTATAGATATAGATTAGATAGATAGATAGATAGATAGATAGATAGATAGGATAGTAGAGGCACTCATAGTTTTTGAGTAAGGAGTTTGTAAATAAGGATTATTCTGTCCAAAGATTTGGGGAGAATCGATTTGCAATCCATCTTTCTGAAGGCTTAGGCCAAAAATGAAGTCCATCTTTGCCAAGATTTGATGCCCATAATAGATATATGTATGGTAATCAATTAGTAGATAGATAGATTTATATAGATATATATACATACATAGTAGAGGTCATATAGAAAGCAGGAGTTAGATAAATAAGATAGATTATTCTGTCCAATTTTTAGATGGATTGCAGTCCATCTTTTTGAGGCTTACCAAAGATGAAGTCCATCTTTGTCAAGGATATTCCCATATACTCATATAAAATCAGATAGATAGATATAGATGATAGATATAGATAGATAGATAGATAGATAGATAGATAGATAGATAGATAGATAGAAAAATAGATAGATAGATAGATAGATAGAGATAGATAGATAGATAGATAGATAGATAGATAGATAGATAGATAATAGTTTTAGAGTATAGATATAGTTAAAAGATAGTTTGATAGATAGATTAGATAGATTCAATAGATAGTAATAAGATAATAGATTGATAGATAGATAGATAGATAGATAATAGATAGATAGATAGATAGATAGATAGATAGATAATAGATAGATAGATAGATAGATAGATAGATAGGAGATAGATAGATAGATAGATTAGATAGATAGATAGATAGTGATAGATAGATAGATAGATAGATAGATAATAGATATTACTATGGGATTTTGAGTATAGATGGTTAACATAAGGATTATTCTGTCCAAATGTTTGATTAATTGAGTAGATAGATAAAGGATAATAAAAAGAAGAAGTCCATGTA